ATCAGTGTCTGTCCCTCAGGCACTGCTTCAGAAGATCCAGGGGCTCCCCCAGGCCAAGCCCAGCAAGGCATCTGCTGGCCTCAGGGGCACCCCCGCAGCAGCTCAGCTCTCAGGAAACAGGTCTAGGGGCCTTTGGTGGAGGTTCTGCTCAGACAGTGAGCTTGCAGCTGCCCAGAGCAGCCCACCCTCCCCGGAGCCGAAGCAGGCTGAAAACCACAGGGCGAGGCCCCGCCAAGGGCAGAGGGCTAGGCAGGGTGACATCTGACACGGGAGCCTGGCCATCCTGTCCCCATACTTGCTCAGTGTGGCCCTGTCCTCCTTGTACACATCTGCCACGGGGTCCCTGTGGCCCTGGTGGCCCCATGTGACAGCCAGTGCCCTGTACCCACAGTGCATCCGTGGACGCAAGGCCACGCTGGAGGAGCTGCAGACCGTCCACTCGGAGTCCCATGCCCTGCTCTACGGCACCAACCCCCTCAACCGGCAGAAACTGGACAGTAAGGAACTGCTGGGCGGCCCTGCTTCTCATGCTCTGTCCAGGAGCTCAGCTCCACCCGGCACTGCAGGCCGCAGCCAGCCTGTCCCCAGCCCCCTGGGCCCATGGGGCAATGGCAGGAGAGGGCTTAAGTCCCCCAGCCCCACACAGACTTCCCCTCCATGTCGGGGCACCCCGAGGGTGGGGGGGGTAGGTGTAAGAGGCTCAGCAGAGGAGAGCAGCCCCTGGAGTATAGACACAAGGTTTGTGGGGGCTCAGACTCGGGGTTCCCAGAGACTCAGACTGCAGGTCTGAGAACTTTGGGTCCCCCACTGGGCATGACCTCAGGGTGCTCCTTCCTGCCACCCTCCCAGCTCCACCCTGGGCATGTCATCATACCTGGGTCCCCTGGTCCCGCCCAGCACTGGCCCCTCCCCGAGCAGCAACAGCAGCCCCCTGCCCCCCAGAAGGCGAGGCAGCAAGAATGTCCTCATCTCCTGTAGACACAGAAGGCGGTCTGCTCAGCACTGGGCTCCACTCCTCACTCCCAGGATCCCAGCCCCACTCCCGCTCCCACAGGCCCTGCAAGGCTGGAACCCACCAGCTGGGGGTCCCAAACCCGCCCTCTATGGCGCTCACAGCGAAGCAGCCCACCTCCAACCTGAGTCTTGGAGGGAGAAAGACCCACCATGAGGCTCCCCAAGCCCCCCCCCCGACAGAACACCCCCACACAGCCCCCAGCGCACCCTACAGGGCCCCCACAGGAACCGACATCTAGGCCTCAGCTGCTTTCAACCATTATGGCGCCCCAGACACAGTGCCCCCAGCTCACTGCAGCCCCCACAGGGCCCCACACAGGAGGGACCCCACACCAGAGGCTTCCAGCTGATCGAAGCCTCTCCACACAGGACCCTACACACAAGGTCCCCGGGTCCCCCTCCGTACCCTTTACAGGACACCATGCACAAGGCCCCCTGCTCCCCACCAAACCCACCACGGGACCCACCCAGGAAACCCCCAGCTCACTGCAGTCCTCACAGAACCACACACACAAGGCCCCCAGCTCACCGTTGGCTCCCAGTGGGACCCAGGGACTCAGCCCCCCAAAAGGCTCGCCAGCCACATAGGGCCCTCTGACAGGCTTGGGGCACCTTAGTTAGGGAGCTTCCTTAGCACTGAACCCACGAGGTCCCTTAGGAGAGGGAAGAAGGTCCCACTCACTGTGCAAACCTCACCCCCCACCCCTCCACCCGTGAGGAGACCGCTGATGGAGGGGTGCAGCTCTGCTGTCAGTAGCGTCAGGCTCACAGACAAGGCCCGTGCGCCCCTCAATGTTAGGTGACCCCGACTCGAGTGAAAGGCAAAGGCGTGCGGATGTGTGGATCGTGACTGGACAGCCTCAAGAGGAACAGAAGTCGCAGAACACTTGCTTGTGCTCCCGAAGGACTTGTGCATGGATCCGGAGGCAGTTGTGCAAACAGGAGGGAGCCCTGCATGGTTTAGAACCAGGAAAGGTGCATGTCAGGGCTGTATCCTCTCACCGTACGTATTCAATCTGTACGCTGCACAAATCATCAGAGAAGCTGGCTTATATGCAGAAAAATGCAGCATCAGGATTGGAGGAAGGCGTATTAACAGTCTTCAATATGCAGATGACACCACTTTGCTTGCCACAAGTGAGGAGGCCTTGAGGCACTTGCTGATGAGGACCAAGGAGTGCAGCCTTCAGTAGGGGTGACAATTCAATGTGAAGCCCACCAAAGTTCCCACAACTGGACGGATAGGTAGTGTTGTGATACATGGCTGTGAGACACGGTGCGAAGGTTGGCGTTGTCCAGGGTTTGTCTTGCGTGGATCCACAGTCGGTGCTCGTGGCAGAGCAGTCAAGACTGAACAACGCTC